ATCATGGTAGCCGTGCCCTATGTTGCATGCGTGTGCATCTGTATGTGTACAGGTACGTGCGATACTCCCCTCCCCTGGGATGTTTTCCCAGTATGTGTACGCATCGAACAAAATGCCTATAGTTCAGTCAGCTCTGGTCAAAATAGCGAACGATGATACGTGGGTACTTGTGTACGTGATGCGAGTGTTTTGACATGATAAACACCACCACGACCATAAAGTTTCCCGATGGAGACTAACGAATGATGATGGCGCGGATTGAAGTGGAAATTGACAGATCCAAACACTGAGGAAAAACCCGAACACCTGCTCTGTGAGTTATTGATTCCAATCGTGGCCCGCTTGTGCAGCCCGGTGGTGGTGGTTGCAGTCGGTAGGGTGGAGATGGAAAAGCACATTCGACTGCTAATTAGACAGACGCGGAAGGCAGGAAGCCCAATAATCCCACCACTGAACAAGATTGGCTTTAGATGCCGCGGGTGACCGGTTTGCGGTAGTAGAGCATTCGGTTGGAGGAAAGCGATCAGCTGATTACACCGACTGTATCACGTGACAATCCCGTATGTCATCGAACTCTTGCACCCAGGCTGAGACTGTCACCCTGCAATGGCTGTTGGTGTTCCCGAAGTAAGGTTTGGTCTCTGTTCACTTCGTTGTATATGTGACCTGGACAGTAATCCTTAAATATTTGCATTGAATTTGGATGAATTCCCTCCAGTTCGAACTGTTGGGGTAACGCCACAGGAAAAATGTGATAGGATAGGTAGACGAGAAGAATTATGTCCGTGCGCTCTATTTGTCAGATGCGTCGCTCGACACAAACAGCAAATGAGTACACATGTTAGCAGCAGCACCAGCAGCGCAAGAACGAAAACTCTCACGTTCACTGGCAAACAAACTGTCGTTTTTTACATCAGAGATTCTCCAGCTCCACTGGGCGCTTTACACTCCGTATTTCAGATGGGGGAGCAGCAATCAGCGGTACTCTATTTATTGGTTGTCTCGTATGTGTGTTCCGCAACGAGCATAATGCCTATAGTTTCGGTTCTCTTGCTTGTGACAACAGATGTTGGCAGTCAAAATGCCTAGCACTTTGGTTTCCACTCATGAACACGAGCGTATCTCAGGGTTTGAGTAGCTGAATTCGAATTCACCCACTGAAACCTCAGTTGTTCTTGTTTAGAGAATTTGACAGAGCTTTCTCTTCTTTTTGGATGCAAGGTATCTGTGTAGAAAAAAGTCATACAGCTGAACGACTGGACGCAATGTATGGTATGCCAGTAGTCACTCGAGTCTCGGGAAAAGTTTTACATTTGAGGTGATGTTCAAATGAAGCTGGTTGGAAATGTCCCGCCTAGATTTTCTGAAAATTCATTCGCACAAACCAAAGACCCTTTTCTTATTTCATTAAGTCACTCCTCCGCCTCATACGTCCAGTGGTTGGACATCTAGTTCTGGTCACTACCTGGTGACCCCTACTGGCTTTTGTTTCAAAGCTGAAGCTAGATTTCATCTGTTAAATCACATCTTGATAAAGGAGACGTGATTTTTTAAGCCCACACTTTTTTGGAAATGAATATTAGGAAGCAGACGCCTACTAAATCGAGTTTCTATACAAAGTCAAGTTGGTGCCCAATATCGCTGTCATATTTGATGAATTGTCTTCTTATACACACGTTGAGAATGGAATTCGAGGAGAATAGGTGTGCTCAGAGGTATCGCTGACGCATGTGTTCGTTTTTATACCGCTTTTTTGTACTAGAAGAAAAGCGTCCGCTCGCGAACTGTTGTTGCGTGGATTAAAAGCACCGACGGAAAACCAAGATGAAGGTGATCAACTCTCCAGTTGACTGGTTATGATCTGACGTGAATAGGCTACATAGTTATTGCGATAACCCTGGTACGCGACAACTTACCGAAACCCCCATTCCACATTGGACCCTGTAAACAAAGTCAGCGTATGCTGAACAGTAGAGTCATCCTTACTAGAAATCATCATCAGCAGTGCGCGCCTCACGAATCTGCTGGGAGATTCCGAGGCCTCCCGGCCATCAGCTGAAGACCAAACCGTTCGGTTACAAGCAGCTGATCAGCTGATCGCACCTAGGCAGAAAGTGTACTGTGCCACGCATTCATCGTTCATGGAATTCATATCACGTGACTGGCTTTTTGAACCACGACTTCTGAGTTTAGAAGTTCACTCGTCGTGTAAGCTAATATTTTTCTCTGTCTCAGTGGGAGTCGCAACTAACAGCAGAGTTTATAGGTTCAAATGGCCCTGGAGATCCGCGAAATGTGCATTACTGATGGCTCCAAATAAAGACAAAACAACTGTACAGTAACTCTTGACCTTACCGTAGAGATTGAATTCACTTTCAGGATGAAATCTCAATTGAAAAATACGAAAATTCCTTTGTAACATCAACAGGCCTCGTGGGGTTGTCAGGCGGAAAGGTCCTTTAAGAACACTTGTCATCCAATCATTTGCCAAAGCAAGTTTTCGGCATGGTTAGTGCGTATTTTTTCCAGGTTTACCGACTATTGGGCGAGCTTTTCGGGATTTAGGTGGTTGATAATTTGGCACACGAGCTACTAACAAACCTCCAGCTCTTCAGTTCCCTGCGTTCACCACTAAGCAGTCTTGTAGCATCCTAAACCTAGTGCCCACTTCCGGCTGCGTTTTAAAAATAAACCAAAGTGACACCACAACCAAAGTTATGAATTACTTCATTTAAGAGAATTGAATACCGTATATTTCGAAAGGAAGTATAAGGTATCGTACACACAAAACAAAATGCTCTGAGACACAAACCTCTGAAGTGATCTAAGGTTGGGACACCGTTCAAGAGGACATACGAAAACCTCAAACGATATAGCGAGCTAGTTCTCTGATAATGAAAAGCCACTCAAGGAGGGGGTACTTTATTTCTGTACATCTATTCGCGGTTGAAACAGAGCGTCATTCGTGGCTAACCGGGAAAGTGACATTCCTTTGGATTTTTCTGTTTACTGTCGTGCATCAGTTCGCAATTTATCAGAGAACGGATTAGCTTCATCAACAAGTCAGCCTTTCGGATCGATTAAACATAGAGGGTATTTATCAGAAACGGATTAGCTTCATCAACAAGTCAACCCTTTCGATCGATTAAACATAGAGGGTTGTTGGTAATGTGGGGAGATTAGAGCATAGACCGACTTCACTTATGGGACGAGATCTCAACATATGCTTCACCCGAGCATACACTGAAGCTACATTAGTCAAGCTGGACAACCTCATATCTCATTAACCAGAGATGGTGGATAGGTTACGGTGGACTTACAAGGCTATGCAACGAAGTTGTGAATGGTCGATTAATCGTCGTTCGTAGTGGTACTTCGACTAAGGTCAGGTCTTCCTACGACACGAACACACATTCCTACACCTCTGTTTCTCATCCACAGTGTGATCTCAAGACAAAAATTATTATGTTTTGGACACGTGAAGTTTTCCCTTGAAGTGTTGGACAAAACTGTTCTTGCTATCTGACGTTTCCAATGTTTCACGCACGTTAAAGGATCTTGTGAAAACAGGCAATCATAAATTGAGTCGGGTCAAGGCCAGCCGAATAGGGCGATTGAGATGAATCTGATCCGATGACTTGTTCACACATTTTGCAAGTATTACGGTTCAAACTTATGGAAATCCCATCCTGGAATTACCCTGGAATCATAAGTTAATCCTGGTGACATTTAAACTCACCCAAACCTTTGGAAGGGGGCGCAATACACAATTTGGGGTGTAAAAGGCAGGAAGCTTCAAGCCTGGGAAAAGCTCTTTCCTTATGAGTCTTTCAGCAACCGGTACTTAGTGAGGTCCTATTGAAAACGAAGAACGTTCTTATTTATATGGACTACTTAAGTGCAAAATCGAACTCAGCTGACCAATTATTGTATATTCTGAGTATGTAGGAGCAGAGTTATTAAAAAATGGGACGGATGGGTTGATTCTTACACTTCGAAATTAGTTGGAGAGTTTGTTAGCAGAGTCGGTTGTCAAACCTGAAGACAGATGAGTGGAAAAATGCCCCATCTAGCTTAAAATTACTCTACGGAAGCCATACGATGATATTTTGACTGATGTAAGTCTGTTCAAAAACATTCGATCTCTTCCGGATGCCAAGAAAAACCAAACTACGCTCAGAATATACAGGCCTGTCAGGTGTCTGCCCAGCCAGTAAAGGACGAAAAGATGACGCTTGTTCAAACTGGTCGGATTTCACCCAGTTTCTTTGGTCTTTAGTTAATGAATGCAGTCCACTGATTGAGGTATAGTGAGTTGCGCGCTATATTTCGGAATAAAAGCGACGTCTTGTCAAGCCGTCCTCTACTAAGTTGGTTCTTTATACATGTCGACGACGAGGTCGAGAAACATAGGACATCGTATTGTGTCGCGCCCTCCTCAGATTAACCGATGAAAAGCAACGCTGGATCCACATCTGTATCACTATCGTTTGAAAAATCTACCTCCTCGCCTAGTACGAGTATTCCGCATTGTAAACACCGACGTTACAGCTCACGAGCAAGGCATATCCTTGGTCTTGTGGGAATTTGAACCCCGGACATCTGATGTGAGCGAAGGTGTTACCAGTAGTCCATCAGTACATCTGAACGGGTGGATGTGTCTAGATTTTGGGCGATATAATCTGTTTGTTCGAGATAAACATGAACATTTAAGTTACCCAGGTAAAATACTGTATATGATGGTATATTCGAACAAATCAAAGTCTATAATCCAAGCAATTAGTACGCATTATTGAAATCCAACCACGTGTTGGAGATCTTACGTTGGAGTAATCTGCTCCATACAGTCACGTGGCCTTGGTCATTTGACTGATTATAAGAGTGTTGTTCCCCTGAAAGCACATAAATTCTCGTCGACAAGTTCGCTATCTATTTCTTTGAGACCTTACCAAAGTCAAGATTTCAGTACACATTCGAAAAATTTTGCACACTGTTCGCACTCACTGAAAACAGTAACATTCAGACAACAGATCAAGCATATTAAGAAGGTAGAGTGACTTACTGTTTGAAGGCACGTGCAATTTTTGAAAACGGGCCATTTGCTTTTGTAACCATTTGAGATGGGCCTGTAATAAGGCAACTGAGTTGGACTTGAGTGACCACGGTAGTAACGGAGGAGGATAAGGAATTCGCAAATCTCCCATTGGAGTGGCTAAATGTTCCAGAGAAGCGACAAATATGTCTGCTGCTGAGTTTGTCGTCACAGTGGATCTGAGATCAATCGGGACTTCATTGGTTCCCGGGGACCCAATCAGCCTCTTTTGGTCGGAAATAGAGGAGTTTTGCTCCATTTGGTGTGAAAATGGCTCTTCTTTGCGAGTTCGCTTTGGCAATGAAGACAAAAAATGGCTCTCATTCTTCTCGTCCGTTCCACCCTGTTCTTTGCGATTGTTTATGGAGTTTTCATCATTTTTCGTATTGTCCAACAACTGCTTTAGTTGTTTATTCCCCGTTTTCACCATGGGACTGCGGTGATTCGCGTACTTGACATATGCATGAAGCCCTTTCCGTTGACCATGTGGACAGAGTTGTCGCTGGAGTGATTTGCTCACAACAGAACCGCCTAGTTGATTCGTGCCAAACGAGGTAGAGTCCTTTGTTAGACTATTTATGAAGAATGGCTTCTGATTGAGCATGGGCAGTTGTGCCAGTTTCGCAAACATTATTTTGTTCTTTTTGCCTGCGGAATATGAGTTTTTGTTTGTAACGAGTGGTTGGCTGCAAGTTGCTGGTTTGAACTGTCTGGGGAGCTGGAAATATTGCATGATATCTTGAAGTTGCGCCCACTGTTGATGGAGGCGTTGGTCGGTGAAAATGGCCGACCATTTTGGGTCGCGCACAACTTCAAGGGGGTCACAACTCGTATTAGTGGATATTTTGCATCGGGTTTTATTAAAGGGTCCTTCTTCAAGATCAGTACAATGTGACATTGCAGGTGACTGTTGCTGATTCGAGCGTTTGCGACAGTTCGCTTCTTCGAACTGTTCTTTCCCCACACGAACCGGTAAGGTGGGTGGTATGCTTTTGAAGGTTTTCACTGGATAGTCATCCAGTAGAAAATATTTGTTTGGGGACCGTTCATTGCAGTTTGCAGCTTCATCCACAATGAGGCTGTGGTTTATTGAATCTGAATCACTGACTGAAGAAAACTTGTGTCCTCCTTTTGTAACAGGCGTTGAAGTCAGCAAAGGATAAGGTCGGGAAAGTAATGCCTTTGAAGTTGAACCGGAGCTGAATGATCGATTTTTTGAGTTAAGTATTGGACTCATTTCAGTCACATTCAGCGCCTGAAGCAAGAAAGATACGCCATGAAGTCATTTCATGTTTATTTTGAGTATATTAACTTGAAGGAAAGTAAACAGTGACCCTTTTCCAAATGCTCTAACAAGAATCAGAGGGCTAGTATCGGATCATCCGACTAACAGTGCAACAGAGATCGCACGCATTACAGATGGCCAGCCGAAAGGGACCTCTCCTAAGATGGCCTTTCACCTAAGAACAGGCCTCAACAGACCAACAAAATGCAACCATTTTTGAGAGGTCTTCCTCCTAGAAGTTAATCTTCCAAAGGAAAACAGCGGCATATGGCCTAAGACTACCAGGTAGACAGAAACGGACGAGTTACCAAGCTTTACATCACCGAACGAAGCAATTAACTAATGTGTTCGCTAATACATATCATGCCAAAAAAGAGGGGGAAACGCGATAGTGTCTAAACTTCGTAGGATTTTAGAGTTTTGGAGAGACTTTTTAGTGGATTTCCTCAGAAGCGCTCTTCCAAACGCTGTTTTTTTGTAACCACTTCAAGGGACTTCCAAGAACTTTTCACTCCGGTTATTCTTATGCCCATGCAAGCCCAAACATGAAGAAAGAGACTGAATGGGCAAGTGTTCATGTAAAGGGAACGAATTCGAGTTGCTGTCCAGTCTATCGGTTCCATGTATGGGCCAAAATTTCCATATATACGTCAAGTCTTAGTCAACTCATTTAACTGGGGATTCAAATGACTCATCTTTCTGATACTGTTCGGTCTAAAGGCACTCCGCAGAGGTCGCCTCATGTTTCAGTTAGAACCATATCTGCTGTATCGCGGTACACACTACTCCCACGGTTGCTGAAAACTTCTCGACGGCCAAAGTCCGGTTTGTTCTTCTTCAGGTTTATCAAGTAGACGCAGTCGGCCAGTTTCTATAAAACTTATTTTCTACTTGAATACCGGATTGTACAAAACTGACCCGCAACTGCAAATTAAGTCCATGTTAATGGGGAACAGCTTAGTTTGCAAATAACTGTGTTTTGCCAGATGTGCAAAACTGTTCTAATGGGATATGATGTTGACGAAATATCGCCTACTACACCTGCCTGATGATCCCCAAAAGGGGCAAAACTGATCTGGTTTCTGGATGAGCTCTGGGGACATTGTGCGCAATGAGTGCCACCAAGAAAACAATAAATCTTATTTTGAGTGAGCCACTTCAGAGTAGAATTCACAAATGAACGGACAATTTATTTCAGTCTAATGGTATCATGACTGTATATTTGACTTAACCACATAGATGTAGCAACGACTAGAATCAATAATCTCCGGGCAACGAAGAGGATACCATTTACCTAATGATTCAACTTTCCAACTACCGAAGGCACCGCGTGAAACGATTTACACTCCAGTAAGTAAACAAGGATATGGAGCAAGGTTAGCCGTCTACTCATGCAACGCAAGACATGCGTTATAAGCATGGCGTATACGTACAGCGAACTGTTATGTGTACTGAGTGTAATCCCCCGATGGCATGTTTTACGGGCCTACAAAGAAATACAAATAGCCTTCATTTGGACCATAGATCTTCCAGGTTGTGTTAATCTAGCATCAGTTGACAGTGCGTTTTCATCAGCAGTGAACTGTGCAGTTCCTAAAATTATTCCGTGTAATCTTAGAAAAAAAAATTCTTGAACTTGTAGAGTCTGTAATCCGTTGTCACATTTACCATTCTTCCGAACTTAAAGCACACTTTGTAAATGTCGTTCACATTGTATCATAACGTTTGTTTTAATGTTACGAATACACAATTTTCCGGTGCGACCTGCTGACTTCTTGCTGAACGAGTGTATTTACGCTCCGTTGAACTGCTTGTTGACTGCTGAACGAATGGGACTAAATCTCTGTGTTTGTGTCAACTGTTGAACGTCACAATAAATCCCTGTGACATTTTTAGCCGTGAATAATTTTCCTACCGTGGAATATATCGCTCACGCGGAACCATCTGCGGGAAAATTTCGATAATTGAATATTTCCTTTCACAGCCAGTTGCTGCATTTGGATCGGTGTAGTGGACTATTGGATCTACACATTCGGGAGTCCCCATTTGACTACTCATTCCTTTCCCATTGTGACTTTGTATTGGTTACTTTGCTTCCTTATTTGTCCGAACACGCTGATAAGGTCCTAGCCCGCTACAAACTCAACACCATGCGGACGCTTGTGACGAGTGACTACTGTGACTTCCAAAGTCCTCCGTTTTACTCGCTCCGTCTTCCAACAGCAGCAATCAGCAGACGAACAGTAAGCTGCCAACTGACAGTAGTTCTGAGTATGCAGTCCGTACCGGAACTCCTCCAGTTGTTGTAGATGACTTTCGATGACTTACGCAAATCGCCAGAGTCTCGTGGATTAGCTACTAAAATGCAGCGATCTACGGTTCCGACACACCATCCTTGGCGCCACCAAGGTTGGTCGGAAGAAGAGTATTTATTACTCGTTCTGCTGTGGCTTCTTGATCAGAAATAAGTATCATTAAATAGACCATCAGACATCTACCTATTTACTCGAGAGAATAATCGTAGCTTAGTGGGTGTTCCGTTTTGCCAGATATAAAAACGTCGTCGGACGATTCGACTACTTATTTTTAGTTGTGAGTAATGAGGAGATTGGAATTTAATAAAATGGAACTGCGTTAACCTTCGACAAATGGACTCGAGTCAATGCACAGCTGTTCTATTCTTACGGAGAAGTACTGACGCTGTCTGTGGTAAATATAATAGGCTGAATTCACAATGTCTACGAATAAGATTCTGAACGACAGATGGGACTCGTCACACTGAAATCCAACCGGGAACCGAAAGTTCGGGAGGCAGGCAATTAGCATATAAAGATGAGGAACGCAACAATGAAAATGGGTTTGGAGTGAGACGTTAATGAGTTGTAAGCCTCAGATATTTAAGTTCGATCAAATATAAGGGTAACAGAGGGCACGGATCTCTATCTTGTTCGAGGTCTGACAAAGTGGCGATTCTTTGGATGGCATCTTTTAATATGGTTCCCCATGTGATTATCCATAATGGAAAGATGGGGAATCGACTTGAGGCCGCGTATTGGGATTAAGAAAGAAAAACTGTCGGACTCACTGGCTGGGGTAGAGACGACGTTTATTGGACAAGCGATAAGGCCCGACAGTACGGACACTTGAGACTAGAATTGGCATAAGCCGGAGAGGCCGGACTTTGACGCGATCCAACAGCCACGTGATAAAAAACTCATGGCGGGATTTCTGCTCCGACTTTCTTGCGAGGTTGGTTTACTTAAACGGGTAGCAACTAGGGGCAGTTTTACGTTGTTACTAAGTCGAGTGTGTTGTGCTACTGGCAGGTTCTATGTGGCGACATCTTCTTGGGTAGCCGGTCCCGGATGCAAACTGTGTACAGTTAGTTCTGTCTGCTGTATTATCGGCCTCACAGAATGTAACAAGCATCATTTTATCCAATCCTAAGGCCGCTGAGTGCAGTTTTCAACACTTTTGATCTCATTGGGCTTCGAGGTAAATGAGCCTATCCCATGATTTCTAAGAAAATGTATTTCCTACTTGAACTCGACACCGTGCATATGGAGCGATGAACACTCGTTTGCAAATCGGGTTTGAGTTGACGAGGAACTTCACTATGGGATGGTCACTTTAATTTCAAGGCCATACATCTAGCTGGAGTGACACGCCGGATCACGTGCCTGCCCGATAGATGTTCATTATTTTGCTTGGTTCACGCATATTGGTCATTCGACTGGTCGTTATCTGCTCATGGTGCCTCTGTCAGGGCCAGCTAACCCCTTCATGCGCACATCCACTTTGAAAGGCTTTGCTCAGTGGTTTACATGCATAAAACATCTCGCTATTTAGCTGCCTTCCGAGATCGGCATTTGTAGTTGCAACAAAACGTTACCACACAATGCGAACTTTTTGGAATGTAAATGGACTTGCGAGAAAGTAGTAGACTATGAAATGAGTAAGCGTAACATGAACGGAAGATACGCTTTCCCAAACTTTTCTTTTCGTCTGACTAAAAGTTCTCGTTTCAAAATCGGCTTGCAGCAAATTCGGTCATGGTAGAACGACTTATGATAAATTGGTCTACAATGACACGTCTGCAGTAGGTTGACACGGTATCTTTTATCTTGTCCATGAAAAATCATATGGCTTATCTAAAGCCATGCTTCTACAGTGACAGATGTAACATGCATTAGATAAATCATGACATGGAAAAAGGTGAGTTGACACGTGTCCACAGGTTACATTGGACTTGCGATCCAAGCAAAATGTACAACGAGGTGATGATAAACGGAAAGAGTTGGAGTCACTATTCTCATTATATCTTCGGTCGTATTCAGACAACCAAGGGTGCTAATGACCTCAGAAGAAACTTTCAAAGAGGTCATTTGACGACTGGTAATAATTAATCAACGACCCGGTCCTTATTACAAGTGACCTTCCGGGTCAGTTAGTTTGCTTAACGGCGTTGCGGAAAGCTTGCAGAATCCAGGCCAAAGCATCGTGTCACTTGAACCGTCTTAAACGTATCTACATTGTGGTACCCGTTGACATGGAGAATTAACTTTAGCCTGAGCAAATCATCTAAAGTGATCGGACAATGTGTCATTGACTTTCGGTCACAGAGTCTCAAGAAAACATCTGTTCCGTGCCGTAAAACCATATCTACCACTTTTCGTTTAATATCATCAGGTACACTGTACTGGTTTGCACATCTGTTGCCTACCTCACCCCAGACAAGCCAGAACCCATGATCTGGTACCGTATTTGGTCTTTTCCCATTCTACTTCCTTAAGGCCTGGAGTTCTGTTTTAGCAACTGCTAGATCTTACGTGACTTATCGTGTTCCACATATTTCTACGCACCCCAACTTAATAATCCAGCTGTGGCTTTGAACATCGTCTTCAAGCGAGCAGTCAGTAAGCTGACGGAAGTATCTGGAGCTTAGTTCACGT